CATCAATAAAAACCTAGTCAAAGCCTATGTTCTTCTGATAGCAGATATTAGTACCTGAACCATTCACTGTGTTTAAAATGTCCTTGTTGCTCTTGAAGATTAGGGACCCAACCCTAAAAAATTGTTAGGAAAAAAGGTAACCAAGTTTGGAATGTAGTTCAAAAGACTTAACTTTGCATATTTCCTTTTGTGACTGTCAGTGGCATTATACTTTTACTGAAGTATAGTTGGTTTATAATATTATATAAAGTTCAGATGTACAGCATAGCAATTCATAATTTTAAAGGTTATACTCTATTTGTGGTTATTATAAAATTTTGGCTATATTCCTGGGGCTGTACAATATTTATTTTATATATAGTTGTTTGTACCATTTAATCCCCTACCTATATTTTGCCCCTCCCTTTTTCTCTCTCCCCACTGGTAACCAATAGTTTGTTTTCTATATCTGTGAGTCCGTTTTCTTTTCTGTTATATTCATGTTTGTTTCATTTTTTCAGATTCCACATATAAGTGACATCAGAGAGTATTTGTTTCCCTCTGTCTGACTTATTTCACTCAGCATAATACACTCCAATCCATCCATGTTGTTGCAAATGTCAAAATTTCTTTCCTTTTTGGCTGAGTAGTATTTCATTGTGTATATATACACACCACACATTCTTCATTCATCCGTTGCCGGTCACTTAGTTTGCTTCTGTATGTTGGCTTTTGTAAATAAGCTCCTATGAAAACTGTGGTGCAAATATATTTCTGAATTAGTGTTTTTGTTTCCTTTGAATGTATACCCAGCAGTGTAGTTGCTGGACCATATGGTAACTCTATCTTTAGATTTTTGAGGAACCTCCACACTGTTTTCCACAGGGGCTGCTCCAATCTGCATTCCCACCAACAGTGTACAAGGCTTCCCTTTTCTCCATATTCTCAAAAAACATTTGCTATTTGTGGTACATTTTCAGAATGAGTTTGATTTTTACAACATTTTTATTTCAATGAGGTTTTTTTTTTTTTTTTTTAAATTTCTTTACTGGAAGGACTATTCTAAATTAAGGGCTATCAATCTTCCCTGAAGGAATGCATTTAATTCAGGAAGTCACAGAAGATTGCTAATGATTCTTATTCTTTATTTAAATTTACAAAAATAATATTAACAAAGAAGTATATAAAATTCTGTGAGGTAAGTTAGATTTTTTAATGTTAATTATTTGTTTTGAAAAAACTCTACTGTAGTCATGATCATCACCACGCATCAAACTACTCAAATTTTGACTTAGATGAGAAGTGAGCGGCCAGTAAATAAATGTTCTGTGTAACCTAAGTGATGATTCTGGGCTGCGTCTCAAACAGCACCTCATGCCTGCCGAGCTCTGGGACTCAGCATCCTGAACACATGTTGAAACTTCAAAGCCACAGCAAAAACACAGTCCTAAGCCACCCAAACTTCGAGCCAAGGTTTTCCATATTTATAATAATTTATCTATGGATAAGGGACAATCTAAAATTTAGGAAGAGTTTATCACATCCCTGTGATAAAAGCAGGATCACAGACAAAACTTAAAGAACCAAAATATCACAATTCTTTTTACCTAAGTATTCCTCCTCCCCAAATTTCTGTCTACTGCTGGAAGAATATTTAGAAGGACATGCTTCCCAGGTGGTGCTAGTGGTAAAGAATCCACCTGCCAATGCAGGCGACTGAGAGACACAGGTTAGATCCCTGGGTTGGGAAGACCCTCTGGAGAAGGGCATGGCAACCAACCCACTCCAGTATTCTTGCCTGGAAAATCCCATGGACAGAGGAACCTGGCAGGCTACGGTCTATCGGGTCACAAAGAGTCAGACATGATTGAAGCAAATTAGCACACATGCAAAGTTATAAAATTAAACACATTGATGATATCCAGTAATACTATGTAACTTAAACATGAATTTACAGAATTAAAAACAATATCAAATTATTTTCTCTTTCTCATCCTGGCTATATCAGCATTGATAATAAAACTGAGGTTCCCCCCAACATTTTGTCAGTCTTTATTGAGCACCTACTATGTGCACAAATAGTATGCTAAGTCCTAAAGGGAGTGAAATATGACAGGGCGTGCTAAGATATCTACACCTCAATGGACATGTGAAACGTAGGTGGTCACCACTGTCCACTGTCACCCAACTGTGTTTTAAGGTCTTTGATCATACCATCCCTTTGGTGCCAAAGATCTCAGCTTCTAAAACAGGAAAAACAAAAACAGGGGGCTCTGCAAGAGTCAGGGGCCACATAAAAGAGTGTGTCTATTTGGAACAATTCAGGTAAGATGGAGAAATCTCAAGAGATGAACAGGTGCTAAGTCTGATGGATGATTGGCAGTGGAAAGGCAGGCTGTTGTCAGTGGGTAGAGTGACCAAATATTTTATTATTTAGAGAGCATAAATAATAGAGGTGTTATGAATTATGCTGGGGTAAGAGGTGTAAACAGATAAACAACAGACTTAGAATCCCAGGACATTTCTGGGCAAACTTGGATATCTAGTCACCTCTGTCCATAGAAGACACTCGGCAGACAAAGGCAATAAAAACATGGCCCCAGGCACAGCGGGCCTGCAGGGCTCACAGGTGGCCGTGGGAACCCTGCAGGTGCTGGCTGGACTTCTGACCAGCTGGCAGTGGCCAGTTTGATTCCTTTTTGTTCACATGGTCTTTCCAAGTTCACTGCCTTTATCTCAGACTCTAAGACACCCTTCCAGAGTCTTGCCCTTTCAACCTTACTACCCCTCTCCTGGGGTAGTCATTTATTGACACACAGCCCTCTGGACTTGACTCCAGTCTCTTTCCAATCTATTGTTAAAGCATAAACTCTGTGGTTTACTTTTTCCCTTGCCTTCTGTTTTGATTGCTAAAGCCTTTTCCAACCAGGCTCTTGCAAATCAAAAGGTTTTGGCTTTCAAATTTATTTGTGTGGGTGTGAAAAGCCTATTCTGGACTTAACATTTTATTTTTTTCCCTCTTCATTCTCCTAGTATTCCTAGTGGTAATCCTAATGGTATTCCTAATGGATATCCCACATATAAGGAAGTACAGACAAAGAAAATTACAGGGGATAATCATTCAATGTATTATCTCTGATGATACTAACGTTCTTGATGGAACACATAAAAACTATTATGTGTCAAGTATTGCTTATGCATTAGCTTATTTAATGCTCACATTAACTATTAGTTACATACTGCTGTTATCTCTGTTTTGTAACTTGGGAAAGTCAGGCTTCATTCTTAGGAGTAGAGAAAAGAAGCAATATAATAGAGTAAAAAACAGACTTTGTGCTGAAGTTTAGTGTCAGTTTTGTCTGCATTTTTCTTGTATATACATTTTCCTCATATATACAATTGGAAGTTGACTTTTAAAACTCTTCAAACTTTAAAATTTGAGATAGAAGTTTATAATCCTTATCTAAAATCTTTGTGATTAGTTGCATGTTGGAATTGAGAAATTTTTAGATTTGTGAAAGGCAGTATGTGCAAATATTGAGCATTATTGAGTAACTGCAGTGGGATCTTGGGGCAGCTCCTTATAATCAAATAGTAGTATTTCTACAGCAATACTTTTGTAGTGAGAAAAATAAGTTATTAAAAAAAAATTTCCTCTCAGTTCTGGTCAGATGATACCACCAACTTAATTTTCTGAGAACATATTAAAAAAAGAAAACTTTGGATTTTCAAAACTCTTTGGATTCTGTAATCGTGGAAACTGGGCTAATGAAAGCATTGGAGTAAAGATATCATTAGTGATGCAAAATATTATACTCTATTATTATTATTATTAATAGTGCCAGATTAATAGGATTGATGTGCATGGTAAGTGTCAGATTACCTGAAAATTTTTAAGTACTCAGTAAGACTAATAATTAACCATAATGATTACACATAAAAGAAGTGACAGCAACCAATTAGAATAAATTCTTGTGGACTTAAATTCCATTTCTCAAATTCCTGGAGACCCTTAATTAAAGGGATAATATTAACAACTCTAAAAGCCTTCTTGGGTAGGGTTCCCATGTGATAAGAGAAAGGCAACAACAACAACATTGATAAAAGAGATGAAGCACACCTCCGAAAAGAATAATCAACTGCATATAGACCAGGAAGTCCAGATTTTACATTTGATGCTAGCTCAGTAGGTTCAGTGCTTTGAGTTATGCCTAATAGTATCCAACAGGTCTTCCCTGTAGCTCAAATGGTAAAGAATCTGCCTACAATGCAGGAGATCCCTGGGTTGGGAAGATCCCTTGGAGAAGGAAATGGCAACCCACTCCAGTATTCTTGCCTGGGAAATCCCATGGACAGAGGAGCCTGGTGGACTACAGTCCATGGGGTTGCAAAGAATCAGACATGACTGAGCGATTAACACTGCTACACCAATAGTATCCAACAGTGGTATATCTCAGTAATTTAGTCCACTTAGAGAATTTAGTATCTAAAACTAAATATATGCATTCAAGTTAGGTAGGTTCTTGAAGACTTACACACTTCATAGATAGCTGTAGTTATTAAGCTTATATAAAACCTTTACATTTAACCTTTAATAAAGTCTTTAAATAATAAAGGCATATGTGACTTTTTAGAAATTAAGAAGAAAGAATATACATGCATATCTTCTTCCTTACCCCATGCTATTTCAATATGGCTAGTCACATGCTTGAAAAAAATCATCTCAGTAAAGCAAGCATGTAAATTTAGAACAATAGTTTATTACAAAGCAATGACAATTTAGGAGTAACTGACTGAACTTTGTCATGGACAGAAGTGCTGAAGCTTAGCAGATGATGGAGGGGAGTTAACTACTCCTCCCAAAGCCTACAGAAAGCTATCTTTAAAATAAAAATATGTTTATGATATATAGCAGATAGGACATAAAGATATGCTCTGGCTAATACTCTTACAAGGTTAATGGGCTGCGTCTTTATATTCTGTGATTGCTTATCTCAGTTGATCAAATTGCTTACCTCAGCTTACCTCGTTGATCAAAGTTGATCAAATATGACCATATCTCAGTGGTCATAAAAGATGACGCATCAAAATAAAGGTCATCAATCACAGGTGATCTGCAGACTGGCAAGACTGTAAAGACAGAACATACTTCTCTGTGATGTTCAGTTTCTCAGAAACAACAGAGGAAGGTGTTACTTTTATTTTTATTGGATTTACATGAACACAACTCTATTTAAGGACACTGCATTCCTGTTGCTGCTGACAACAGAAATATGGAGAGTAAGGAAAACCTGATTACGTTGTCTCAGAAGCCTTCTGATTGAAGGAAGTCAGTCTACCAGCATGGGCAATAAGAACATACTGGCAGAAGAAGCAGTCTTTCTCCTCCCCACTGCTCCACCTAACGTGGGAGACCTGCCTGTTATCGCCTCTTCCTCTTTTTAACCCTCTTTCACTCTCCAAATATTATGCGCAACATAAATGTACAGAGTGTATAGATAACAGCACAGTGAGTCAAGAGAAACTACCATTTCTGAAATTTTTAACAGAAGAGAACAGAAAGGCTGAGGAAGTCCTGACATACTAATCAGCTCACCGGTGAAAAATTCTGAGAACCTCAGTTTACGACATGGTAATGCTATGTGAACATGATGGTTTTGATTTCATAGGGGGCAATTACCTTCGCTTTGTTTGGTGACCACCAACGGGATCCTCAGCTTTACTTACCATCTTGGAAAATGCTTGTCGTTGTTCACAAAGAGAACAGGAGGGCAGTGGCAGTGAGGAAATATACCACCTCTTCTGGAAAACAAAAATTTAAAAATAAATAAAAATGAAATCTAAAAGAAAGGCTGATAAATGAGTGAATTTTGTAGGCTTTTGAGATGAAGATGAATACAACTTTATTTATGCAAATAAAGCAAGAATGTTAATCACCCAGTATCTGGGAGAACACTAGGCGCTGGTAATTTAAGATGATTTTAGAAACTCACCCCTTAAATGATTGGATCTTTCCTTTTGTTCTTCACTTCTAAGAAAAGACAGCTAAAGGGGTGAGCCTAAAAGAATAGCAAAACTAACAATGCATTTGAAATAATAAAAAAGGAAAAGAGTAGGCATAATTTTTCATTTTTCCTTATTAAAAAGTGATGAGGCCCCAGTTCTAGTTAGGTAGACAGGCTTAAACTTACCAGATGACTGCATCTTTTGCTTTATTTGAGGTTTTAGAATCAGGCCTCAAGTTCAACAAGTACAGTTCATTTGAATTCCTCAAAAACTTTGTTAAAAAGTCTGCTTTCTTAGAGCAGTTTTAGGTTTACAACTAAATGAAGAGGAAGGTACAAAGATTTTATTTAAGCTCCCCCACCCCCCACCAGCTCCCACACATGCATATCCTTCCTCATTATTAATACCCCTCCTCCAAACAGTACATTTGCTACCAAGGATGAAGCTATATTGAACCATCATAATGCCCAAAGTCCATAGTTTACCTTAGGGTTCATTCTTGGTGTTGTTTATTCTATGTATTTGGACAAATGTATAATGACAAATATCCATCATTACTGTATCATGCAGAGTGTTTTCACTGCTCTAAAAATCTGTGCTCTACCTATTAATCTCTCCACCCTTCACCCCTCAGCCTGCCAACCACTCATCTCTTTACTGTCTCCATAGCTTTGACTCTTCCAAAATGTCATATAGTTGGAATCATACAGTATGTAGCCCTTTCAGATTGGTTTCTTTCATTTAGTAATATGCATTTAAGGTTTCTCCCTGGTTTTTTGTGATGGTTTCATAGTTAATTTCTTTTTAGCACTGTATAATATTCCATTGTTCACAGTTTATGTGATACATGAGAGATATCTTGGGTGCTTCCAAGTTTTGGCAGTTATGACTAATACTGCTATAAACATTTTTGTGCAAGATATGTTTTAAACTCCTTTGGGTAAATACAAAGGTGCACAATTGTTGGGCCATATGGTAAAAGTATGTTTAATTTTATAAGAAACTGCCAAAACTGTCTTCCAAAGTGGCTGTACCATTTTGCATTCTCACCAGCAATGTATAGGAGTTCCTATTGTTCCACAGCCTCATCAGCATTTAGTGGTGTCAGCATTTTGAATTTTGGCATTTTAAGTTTGTAGTGGTATCTCATTGTTATTTTAATTGCATCTCCTTGATGAATATGATATGAATCAGCTTTTCACATACCTACTTGCCATATGTATATCTTCCCTGGTGAGGTGTCTGGTAAGGCCTTTGGCCAATTTTTTTAAAGCAGGTTGTTTGCCTTCTTCTTCTCTTAATAATTATCAGATGGACCTTTCATAAATATTTCCTCCCAGTCTATGCCTTATCTTCTCATTCTTTTGACACTGCCTTTCACAGAGAAAAAGTTTTAATGAAGCCCAGCTTATCAGTTTTTCTTTCATAGATTATGCCTTTGGTTTTGAAGCTAAGAAATCACTTTCATATCCAACATCATCTATTGATAGATTTTCTATGTTATCTTAAAGAAGTTTTATAGTTTTGTGTTTTATATTTAGGTATGCAATCAATTTTAAGTTAATATTTGTGAAGGGTGTAAGGGCTGTGTCTAGATTCACTTTTTTCCATGTGGATGTTCAGTTATTCCAGCATCATTTCTTGAGACTGTCTGTGCTCCGCTGCATTGCCTCTACTCCTCTGTCAAATAACAATTGACTATTTTTATGTGGGTCTATTTCTAGGCTCTCTATTGTCTTGTACTGATCTATTTTTCTATTGTTTTGTTAATACCACACTGTCTTGATTACTGTAGCATTACAGTAAGTCTTGGAGTCAGATAGTATCAATTTTTCATTACTGTTTTTCTCCTCCAATATTGTGCTGGCTGGGTTATACATGCTTATACATGCTTAGAACTGGGGAGTAAAAAGTCTACCCTTAGTTTGATTTATAAATTATATCATGGCATAAAATAATATCCTGGGTATTTAGAGATGTAGCTTATCAAGATGCCTCCCTCTTAAGAAAATGTTGAATCAGTGTATTTTAGACTCTGAGAGTAGAACAGTTAAAATATCAAAACGGTAATTTGGTGGCAATGAATAGAAAAGCATAAATGGAAAACATGTATGTAAGGGCTCTTTAGATAAGAAAAATCATATGCCTCATTTCCTCAAAGACAAATTACACAGAGATACATAGCTAGATACATAAATATTAAGATGACAATATATGCTCTAAGTAGAAAAAAAGTAATAATATTTTACAAATATATCACACACTATGCCAACCATTGTGTCTTTAGTTATTTATAGTTCTTGATGAAATTACTCAGTGAGTTAGGCAGTATTCTTCTCCTTTACACCTGAGTCTCAGAGATGTGAAGTGATTTGCCCAAGGTCATGCAGAACAGGGTTTCAATTAGACTTGTCTGGCTCCAAAGCCCACCTTCTTCCTACTATGTCATGAATCATAGTTTTTGTGTTTTACCAAATGAAGAATTTTCACTGAATTTTTCTGTTTTTTAATAGCTCACTATATATGTCCAGCCAGAGCAAAAGCACACAGCTGAATATGCTGCAAACATAACTAAAAGTGTGTTTGACTATTTTGAAGCCTACTTTGCTATGAATTATTCTCTTCCTAAATTAGGTGAGAACCATTTTTTTTAATTTTCTTATTTTTAATATTGCTTTTCTTTTCATCTAAGTTAATTCACTTCCTCCACTTTTAGCATCCTGAGTTAATGGTTATCCATTAGCCTTTTTATCATATGCCTACACTATTTGTCTAACACTTACTGGATGCTGAAAGATTCATTCTGGATTCCTCCAAAAGTAATGTCTATTCTCTGTTCTTACCTGATAAATGTATTTTATTTCCAAATAAAGATTAAACTACAGACACTGATAATGATGGAGCCAGAATGAGCAACCTAGATTTCTTGATTTCAAAATTAGTACCCATCCCAATAGTTTACATTGCCTTCCTACCATCAGTGAGTTAACAGATAATAGGGATAAATAATGCTGTTAGAGTCTTACGTACTTCCAGTCTTTCCATGGTTGTAGAAGACTAATTCTAGATTCTCTATCTGTTAAAATGAGCTGGTGCTCCTACTGTAAATATTTTTTCTAATATGAAGGATGGGGGAACATGTTTTCTTTTGAAAATAAAAACAGTGCTATAATCAAAATGGTGTGGATGATACATCCATCAGTAACAGAAACACTTTATTAGTAAGTTCAAGTGGTATAAGCAAAGACTGCAAATGTAACACCCATACAGATGACTGTAGGGATGAAATGAAGACAACAACAAAAAAACCAACCAACCAACAACTGACTTCTCTTTTTCTATTTCTGCCCTTACTTTAATAAATTACCAATGCAAAGCAACTGGAATGCCAAATTCTCTACATGGGAATGGCTGTGGCTCTGAACAACTTTGTGGAAGCTCCTCCCCCCTTTCTTTTGATTGCTTCACAACTATCAGAGAAGGAGACAGGAAGAGAAATACTTCACAAAAATCAGCATAATATCTAATAAGATATTAAGCACATTAATTTAAAAGTCTTTTTCTGTTTATTTCTCTTGTACCACCCATGATAACCTGGAAAGTAGAATTCTCACCATTTTATTCCTTACAGCATATCCTCCAAAACAGAAGCTTGGTATTATCTAAATGAAAGTCATGGGAAAAAAGCAAATAAAAATGAAATACAGAAAGAAACAAAAGACATAAAATTATAGAGGACTTGAAAAGAGCATTGCCAATCATATTCTTAAAAAATAAAAGACACTGATTTCTGGAGTCAACAGGAAAAGTTCCATGGAAATTTTGAGCACATTAAAGACTAAAAAGTTTATACAAACAGATGATTGTTTTTCACTCTGAGAAATTATTTTTAGCCTGTTAAAAAACATTCATCTAAAGAACTTAATTTGGTAAGAAATGTTATGAACAAAATGGAAAGAATGTATTTCTCACTGGACTCTTTTTCCATAGATAAAATTGCTATTCCAGATTTCGGCACTGGGGCTATGGAGAACTGGGGACTCATCACTTACAGAGAAACAAACCTGCTTTATGACCCTAAAGAATCTGCCTCATCAAACCAACAGAGGGTGGCCGCTGTGATAGCCCATGAGCTTGTGCATCAGGTAGAGATCCTTAGCATCAACTAGGGGGAAATAAAGCAGGAAATAAATGCTGAGTATGATGTCTGCTACTTCTATGTCATTGCAAATTCCTAGGCCTCTGTACCACGGGCATGGGAATTTAACTATCTCTTTATTACTTATAATTTCAGTGGTTTGGAAATATCGTGACCATGGAATGGTGGGACGATTTGTGGCTAAATGAAGGATTTGCTTCCTTCTTTGAGTACCTGGGAGTAGACCATGCAGAAACAGACTGGCGAATGGTGAGCTTGAAACACATAAATTTTAAATCTCTATTATCCTCATGCCAAGCAGACTGGAGACTTTGGACTATGACAAAGGCCCTGAGTTGGGGACCACGTGCAGTACTGAACTGGCGATTGCACTGGGGGGATGGGGTGGAGCCAGCTGGCTCAGAGCCTACACCATGCTCAGAGCCTACACCCGAGCACTAGAGAGCAGCTGAACACCACAAGCCTAGGATGCCGCTGGTAGAGCCATTCAAGAACATACGCCAAGGCAGGCAAAAATGTCGAGCTTAAACCGTGTGAACTCTGTGTTCAAGAAAGTGCCTGTAGTTCTAACCCTTTGAAAAAGGCCTAATTTTATAAATGACTTCCCTTACACAGTTTGCTGAAATGATGTGGCAAA